GTTGCTTTTCAACCATGCAAGGTGTGTGTTGAGATCTACAAGATTTAGATTAAAAATCATTAAAACATGTGAAACTAAATAGCAGTATTTCCAGAATTATGAATTATGTTATTTTGTATTAAGTTCTTTGTATGTTTGCATGGTGATAAAATATAATAGGTTTTGTTTGTGGAAACACCACGTAAATTTATTACTGCAAAGCTTTCGATCCGTAAGCCCGGATCTTCATCAGTGCATGGACATATTATTAGCACTGATGAAGATCCGGGCTTACGGATCGAAAGCTTTGCAGTAATAAATTTACGTGGTGTTTCCACAAACAAAACCTATTTATTTTGTATTGTTTGACAAAATGTCATATTATAGAGAGCTTCATATAGATATCATCATGCGTGACCAGGAGTACATGATATAATTACTCGTCACCATGCAGTTGCTAGACCTGTAGACCATATGTAGGCGTACCCATAGAACATTGCGCAAGTTATGCCGAGCTCATTTGAATGTTGAAGGCCCAGGTACAAGATCGTCATTAGGAAGCTGAAGCAAACGACGTTTGTGACAACATGGGCATAATTTAACCGTTAATCAAGACCGCCAGTCAATGTAGTTCACGTGATTTCAAACAAAAACGGCTATCTGCATCTATAACGGCACGATTGACTTCCAGTTGGGTTCGTAAATAAAAAATGTCCCATGCCTAAGCTCTCTTTTTGCGCGGCAGTTACGTCTGGCATGTCACATTTTCCTGATGTCACTTCCTCAACGACTCCTAATCTCGTACTCGTGCTCGTAGTCATATCACATGCAGGTTATATCTATCTAAAGTTTTACAAACTTTATACAAGTATTGTTTCAACAAAGTTGAGGAAAAGTTGCAAAAACTAAACTAAATTATTTAATTATAATTGCTCTGATTTTGATCCAGATTTTTGATAAATAAGGAGAAAGTTAACCTTCCTGTTACTGGAGTTCAGATTGAAAAGGAAAGTAAAGCATGGCTGTGGCATTCGTATTCGTAGTAAGTTAAAGCATTCAGTTTCAAGTGTAGATTGGTGACTATGAATTACAACATCCGGACTATATTATTCCTGTTCTTTATAGCATTGAGCCTGAGAGCTCCAGAGATACAGAAGAAATAAAGAAGACCTGGAGTGATATAAACAGACGAATACGTAAGAATGTGTTACGGCATACATTGTCCACCTATATTTGCAATGGGTAGACATCCCTGCAGTGGGGACACTGGGGGGACCGAAGGGGGCCGACCCCATTCCTTTAATTAAAATATGCTGATCAGGTCTCAATATTATTTGTTGCCTGCGAGCAAAATTCACAACGTTGTAATGTGCCTGCAAAAATGCATCGTATTTTAGGTTTTTAGAGCTATATATTTTTTAAATGTCAAGATTTTAAAGAAATTTTAAATGTCCTTGTACAAATTCAAAAGTTGGCTGCGAGCGGCGTGCATTGTACTGTTGCCTGATGCTGATTGCCTATATTCGCATTCCCAATATTTTGTGAAATGTCCGCCATTGAGACAGCCAATACGCAAATGTAATAAATGATGTCATTTCTCTCTAGGTGTTGGTCAAAGTAAACTTGAAGAAGGAGTAGACATGGTGGTTGGTTCACATCTCCCAAACAATTCAAATACAAAACCTTCCGTCCTAACTGGAGAAAGAATTAAGGTGGAAGTTTTTGTTTTATATCCAATTATATATCCATCTGATTGACTGGAGTGAAAATACTGATCAATATACTATTACAGACAATGATTTATTGTTTTAAAGATCCAATCAGGAATTATTTTCCCAATAGTTGTATAGTCTATCTTGTATAAAAATTTGGAGAAGTTATTGGCTGCAGGTCATCATATTTATGTCAGTTACTTCTGGTTAATCAAATGGGAGACGAATTCAGGACGCCTAATATGTTTTGCTGTGAAGCCACATGCAGTGATACAACTTCCGATATAATGATATTATTTCATTACATTTTTTACTAATTTTATTAATTTACTAATTTTGCTTTTATTTGAAACGAGCTGCATTATTCTTACTTATATATATCGTTTGAAGATATACAATATCTACTCATTTATGCTGACTAGTGCAGCGATAATTAGAACATACGTTGAAAATTGTTTTGTCTTTCTGGCACTCTTCAAATTTCCTGTCTTTGCAAGGGATATTAATATCTAATTAATAACGAACCGCTATACTATATAAGTAACGTACTTGCGGGCTCATGTGCAGTATCCAATGCCCAGTGAACTGCACTTCAGCCATGCATGAACTCTGCAAGTGGCGTTTGTGAGACTGTTTGTATATAGAAACGTTTTAGTATATAGAAGTTACATTTTTCTCAGGGGAAATTTTGATTTGCTATGATCAGTGTCCAAAAGACAAAACGTAAAATTTTTTGTTGTGCCTCTTAAAATTACTTTGTTTATTTTCTAGTTTATAGAGTTATATAGCTACCTTTTTAAATGCGGTTGAGAAACATAAAATAATAGCATAAAAAATTGTCAATCAAAATACAATCATTAAGTTCTATTTAAAACATGCACGTGTAGCACCAGGGCAGCAAGTTCGATTCCTGCCATGGCCATGGACCTACAGTTGCATTTTTCACATGCAGCTGTTCCTGGTTAGGACTTTTGTTCTTTTATAAACTTCTTTGCATGCAGCTGCACTTGCAGCATAAATTGCTTCTTTTAGACCCCCATGACAGTCGGACAAAGCTTTCTTTGACATTATTTGTTATATATGCATGCATGCAGCGACTGACCAACACTTCTCAAACACTTCAAAAATGAACATGAGTCATTGACATAATAAACAATTATTGGATGAGATTTTTTATATCCGGAATTATCAAAGGTCATGCAAGTAACTAAGTGTTATCAGCCGAATACTGAGGCTAAAGTAGTACATACTGGGACGTTTTTCAAAGAAATCTAACATTTTTATTATACATTGCGTTCATTAATTTAAGTGAACGTTTTAAGGTGACCATGCATGGCATGATGTTCTGTCTTGATTGCGTGATTGCCATAATTAACTGCTAGAGGGCTTCAATGCTTGTGTAATTTAATGTGAAACGTTGTTATGAAACGGAAAGGGACCGTATATGGTCCACAGAAGTGCTTTTATGAAAACAGACCTTTTTCTCTATTATAATTTGTCATGCAATTCATCATAAAATGGCACTATAATATGAAAATGAAATCTATACACCCGTCTTCTGTCATGTCCATTGTTCAGACCACACATGTATTCTTGATAAATTGCCTAAAATGTTAATGTTATTTTTAGGGTCCAATGTTTATTTTAGAGGATGGTGAATCGGTGATGTCGCTGAACAATGCGATCATGTGGGCCAAGGTCAATCCATTCTCGCCGCTTGCTACTGGTGCAAGAATAAACCCGTATTAGAACTAAGTAAAATAATTTAAATTATTGCATCTAAAATTAATTTATTTATTAAATGTAAATATATTAAAGTAAATATTCCTAGTTTAAGTTAGGTGTACTTGTATGTAGTATAGTCATTTTAAATATTAGTTAAAATATGAACATGTTCATTACGGGCATTGGTAATAGGCTATGTCGCAGTAAAATATAAGAGGCATTTTTTTCTTGCAACGCAATATCTGATCTACAGCCATGTTAATACGTAAGAGAAAAAATCAGTGCAAGTGGGCCCATGTTTTGCATTTGTCTGCAAGTATTAATCCAATGCCATTATTAATAATCGGAAAACAAGGCCCAAACAGGCCCAAGGCCGATTTACACTACACAACTTTTGCCTAAAACTGTCGCATGCAACCTGCTTACAATTTCAGTTGCACTGTGCAAATCAAGCACACAACTCACCTATACTGACAGTCTGCATGTAGTTATAAGCAGGTTGCATGCGACAATTTTATGAAATGTTGTGTAGTGTAAATCGACCTTTAAGATGGGGTCTTATGCAACAAACAATAATAATGATAACAATAATACTAATTTTAGTTGAGTGTCAGCTTAAATAGCAGTTACCATGCATTTATGCCCGGAAATCTAAACCCGCGGAAAGGAGGGACCATTCACAGTCCATATATAAATTATGGTACTCCTAATGCATGGTGGTAGTCATTATAAACTTGCAATTTTGCTGCGAATTTAGTGCGATTGATTTCTTCTGATGTGGTGGATGAGTTGGGAACACTATATGCATGTTTAGATGAGGGTAGCCTGCGTAGCAGACGGGTTTTTTTTTGGGGGGGGGAGCGCTTGCGGGCGGGAAAACTTGCGGGCGGCTTGACATTAGGCAAGTAAATATAATTTTAAAATATAAAATTCGTTACAAATTTTACTGTATAGTATATTGTACAATTATATATTTACTATTATACTGACACTAATACGACTCTGTGAATACGAGAGCCTTAACCACCCATAGTTAATATAGACAGCCACCCAGATATATAGACCCACCCAGATATCGATTTCATGTCAATTTTGAATTAACTTATTAAAATGGGCGGCACTCACTCTCCTCCGCAGAGGCTTTCTATATGAATCTTAAAGCATAGTTAATAGAATAGATGGTTTGGAAACTCGTTAGAATAACAAATTTACAATATAACTCATTATCTATGTTAGTCAACGTTTATTTATAAATCTGGTCGTTCACCGTCACGTGCCTATTTTATTTTTGCCCAACTAACCAATAGCAATGTCTTAGGAAAGTTACCTATCCGTGACTCGAACAATAGGATAAATTGAAAATTGCTATTGGTGGATTTGGCAAGAACACAATACACATGTGACAGTGAGCGACCATGTTTATGAATAAACGTTGACTAACATAGTAATGAGTTATGTTGTTATTCTAATGAGTTTCCAAACCATCTAAGGGAGGTTTTGGCCAGCTTTTTATAAGTCTTTAACGAAGTTCTTTTCATTAGTCTTACACGAAGTCTTTCGCTAGCATGTTCATTACACGGCTAAAAACGATTAGGTTGTTGCTGAGTTGATGAAACCAGGATTGAACAATGTTTTGCTGCCCACATTGTTCACAGTTGTCAACAATAATTGAACAATGTTTGGCTGCCCACTAGAGGTGTGCGTCGGATTGGTAGCGTCGGATCGGATTGGACGTTTATAATCCGGTAGTTGGCTCACTTGGCTGGTGTTTGGAGTCTTTGGAATCCGATCCGAAACTGTCCGATTCGGGTTGCACGTTGCTACCGTTAGCACTATTTTCCATCCAAAGAGGTGTCAAATGGCTATGTAACTACCCCTACTCTAACCCCGATCCCTAACCGCAACCCTAATCCTAACCGAATTAATAAAAAAAGAAAAAAAGAAACGACTTTAGAAAATCGCTAGCGCGGTTTGCTGGATGGAAAATAGTGCTATTAAACCCACTAAGATGTGGGGTGAATCTCATGGTTGGGGCATGCCATGCCATGGGGTGAATGTACATCAGAAGACTAGTAAATTACAAGTGTAAAAGGGACTTAATTTAACTAACTGAACATTACTAAGTACTATAAATAAGTCAGCCTCCAACCTGAGCCAAAAGTGTATTAAATCGGATTAACTAACATGGCAATGTCAATGTAGAATATTAAGCAGAATCAAATATAATGGCTTAATTAGGCATCAATAAATCGTATTTGTTTTGCAGCATTTTGAAGGCGCCATTTTGCTTCATTCGTAATAGTTTTGCAAACAAAGACAAGAAAAGTATTAATAACAATTTGAATTTGAATATGTCAAAGTGTAATAAACTGCTCTATGGTAAGCAACAGGATATCTCTTTGTTATTTATATATATACATTTGTATGGTGTAATACCACGCATTCTCCACTCCAACTGTGCCCTTAAATTTCGTCTTTATTTTGACGCGCGAACCGCAGTAATTATTGTTCGTATTTCGTAAACAGATGACAGCAGTGTTCTTAGAGTATTTTTCAGGAAACGAACTAGGAACAAGAAGCGCTTAATAACAATATTAAGCTAGTTTTCTGGAGTGGGAGAATCATGTTCAAAGGCCGCGACCGGAAGAAAGGCCCTTCAGGGGTCAAGCGCTACCAATTTTGTCTGACACTTGATACGTTGTTCCTTGCTTGTAGGACAACTGGCACGACATTCATAGAGGCCAAGATTCATTGAAATGAATGCACTGTTACATATCTATATGTGTAAAGTAAATTGTAATTGGTCAAAATACAAGCAGTGTGATGAGTTAGTCAACCCCCTCAAGCTAGTCTTTGTTGTAATTAAAATTATTCTTCTATTTCCTGTCCTACAGTGATCACGTGATCAGTTAAAACATTATGCATTGTGCTTCAATGACAAGCGTTGCTGCGATTAAAAATATTTGCAATTTTAACCGCGTTTAGCAAGAGATTTTGAAATTTTGGTGGTACTTATACTCGAAATACTGTGGGACTGTCAATTGGAATGCTTTTAAACAAAGACAATGTAATTTGACGGGTATTTTAATGCTCAAATTTTCAACACAACAATTTAACATGTCGTGTCTTTTGTGTAAATATTAATCACTTGGTTGCCAGTTGCAGTGTTGTGCTGACAAGCCGCGCTTGTTCTGTCTATATCCTTTTCTTGGTGGTTTACAACTCTTTGAATGAATGTTTAAGGGTGCATGGGGTATTTTGATTTATTCTACGTTTGTGTATAATTGACAACAACAACATTCAGTGATGCGAAATTTGAAGTTGCTTCGAAACAAGATTGCTGCCTGTTGGGTGGTTATTATATCACTGCATTTGATCGACGTTTCAACGGCAAGAAGAGCGTTCTATATTTACGAAGGAAAAGCTCCTGGTGAACTTGTTGGTAATCTTAACACGAGTATTTCAATTGTTATCCCAAAAGAAACGAAGTTTCGTTTTGATTTCAGTACTGGAGTTATAAAGTCTAATGCAGCTTTAGATAGAGAAGTAAAACCCTTCTATAATTATACTGTAGTAACACAAACAGGATCTACTATCCAAGTGGATATAGAAGTAAAAGATATTAACGATGAATTCCCTACGTTTTCAACTCTCAATAAAACAGTTGACATTTCAGAGGCATATGATGTTGGTCATATTTATAACCCTGACTTGCGAGTGACTGACAAAGATGTAGGTGTCAATAGTATACACAATGACAGTGTAAGAATTGTATCTGGAAATGTGGGTAATGTATTTAAGATTAACCTCAAGAAACAGCACAGTTTCTATGCAGTTTTTCTTGAAATTGCCAAGAAACTCAATTGGAGTGCTGTACATAAATACAATTTAAACCTTTCAGCCTCAGATAGTGGGACCCCAAGGAAAACAAGTTATATGGCGTTAACTGTTATTGTTCAGGACTATAATAATTGTCATCCTCAGTTTTCAAGACAAACTTATGTTGCTGACATCTCAGAAAGTGTTAAGCCAGGGACTAATGTTCTGAATATAACAACATCTGATTGCGATGGTGGGAAAAATGCTGAAGTCACATACAAGATGAATTATAATTCATATTATGATAAAGATCGGTACTTTAGCATAAGGCAAGAGAACCGCATTGGATACATTGAAACAAACCTGGAGTTGAACTATGAAAAAACAAAGATCTACAGATTACAGATCATTGCAACTGATAAAGGGACCAAATCAAAACAGAGTTCAGCAGATGTAACTGTTTTTGTTCGGGATGAAAATGACAATAGTCCTGAAATTGGTGACTTTCAGTTCTATCCCATTAATGAAGATGCTAAAGTGAACTCTCATGTGGCGAAAATTGAAATTCATGACAAAGATTCTGGGGAAAATGGTAAACTAAATGTAAGTTTGGATCCGATGAGTGTATTTTCAATATCTAAAATTCCACAAGATGCTTACTATGTGTATTTGAAAACAACATTGGATCATGAGAACAGAAATACCTACTATATTATCGTGACTGCAACAGATAATGGCAAACCACCTCGAACATCTAAGAAAGCTGAAACACTACTTGTTGGTGATGTGAACGACAATCCTCCGAAATTTGACCAAAATGTCTACACTGGTGATGTCTTGGAGTCCGAAATGCCTGGCACTTCTATTCTCAATGTTACTGCTACAGATAAAGATTATGCTTTGAATATAACATACCATATTTTGTCAACTAATACATCATGGTTTGGCATTAATTCAGCATCTGGTGTTATTTATGTTGCCTCTTTCATTGACCGGGAACAGTCTGATAAAGCTTTTCTTGTTATCCAAGCATTTGATGGTAAGTTTACAGCGAACTGTACAGTTGTTTTCAGAATTATTGATTCAAATGATAATGCTCCACTGTTTTCAAAACCACATTACATAATGACGGTGCTTGAAAACTCGTCACCTGGAATGCTTGTGGGTAAAGTCGATGCATCAGATGTTGATCTTACTTCAAAGGGGCACATCTTATTTGCTCTTGGTTCTCATACTAGTACGAACAATGTATTTACAATCAACAACACTACTGGAAATATAACTACAATTAAAGAACTAGATCGAGAAAACACTGATATGTACAATTTTAGTGTTTTTGCACGTGATGAGGGTGGTTTACAGAGTAAAGCAATGGTAACAGTTATAGTGGATGATGTAAATGATAACCGACCATTTTTTAAAAATAACTTTTACAATTACACTGTTTATGAAAATATTTCTATTGGTACTGATTTGGTTAAAATTGAAGCAGAGGATTATGATATTGGCTGGAATGCTCAAATCTCTTACGAAATCATTTCGGGAAATGATGATGGTACATTTGATCTGGATAAAAGTAATGGTCAGATTAGTCTACACAAAGCATTGGACAGAGAAAAGGTGGATAGGTATGTTCTCAATTTCCGTGCTATAGATAATGGTGGTTTAACATCACACAAGCTTGCAACTGTTCAAATTCTAGTCAAAGATGTAAATGATGACCCCCCTGTATTCCAGAAAGACAAGTATAGTTTTTATGTTAAGGAGAACGGTAGTATATCAGTTTTTGTTGGTACTGTGTTGGCAAACAGCTATGATCAAGGGTCTGGTGGGATAATTAGTTATTCTATTAAGACTTTGGATTCTCAGCAACATTTTTATATAAATGATTCTGGTGCAATATTTACGAAGGCTAAACTAGATCATGAAGTTCAATCTAAGTATGAGTTATTGGTAGAAGCACAAGATCATGGTAATCCTGCTTTGTTTGGTTATGTCAATGCATCTGTAACTGTTATTGATATTAATGACAATTTTCCAGTTTGGATAGATTACAGTCATTGCATTGAACTTGATGAAAATCATCCTGTTGGTGATAAAGTCCATGTTTTCAATGCTTTTGATAAAGATAGTGGCTTAAACGGTAAAGTCACATACAGTATTGTATCTGGACCAGACTCAGTGTTTAACCTTAATTCAGCAACAGGCTATTTATTGTTGAATATGCCTGTTGATTTTGAGCAAGTACAGTTGTATCAGTTGACTGTGAATGCATCAGACTCTGGAAAACCAGTCTTGTGGTCATTGTTACATGTTAATATTTGTGTTATTGATGTTAATGACAATGTTCCAGTTTTACATAATTCAAGTGTCAGTGTAAATGAAGATCTCCCTGTCAATGCGCTGATTTATACTTTTCATGCTGTGGATAAAGACAGTGGGAAAAATGGTAAAGTATGGTATAAATTTAGTGACAGTATTCCACCAAGACATTTTGAGCTGAGCCAGGATGGTAATCTAACACTTAAATCACCATTGGATAGAGAGACACAAGTTGAACATGAAGTGTGTATTATTGCTGGAGATCTTGGCACTCCAATCAGAACATCAACACCTGCAAAACTAACAATTTATGTCCAAGATGTGAATGATGAAATACCTGTATTTACAAAGAAGTTATCATTTTTGACAACAGAAAATAAAGTTGCACTTATTGGGAAGGTTGAAGCAAATGATCGCGATCTTGGTAAAAATTCGGAAATTGAATATAGCTTGGTTAACTCCACTGACAATTTTGAAATTGATTCTGGAACTGGCGAACTTCGTAACATTGTTGAACTTGATAGAGAAAAATTTCCAATCTACCGGGTACAGGTGCAAGCTTCAGACAAGGGAGACCCACCGAAAAGTAGCAGAGTAACTGTTAATGTTCATGTCCAGGACATAAATGACAACCCTCCAATTTTTACCCAATCCCCATACCGTGTCAGCATTCCAGAAAATGTAGTGAAAGGAACAAAAGTAGCACAAGTTATAGCTCTGGATAAGGATGAAGGAAAAAATGGTGAGGTCAGCTATTACCATAATACTGGAAATACTCAAGGTGGTGTAGAGGTGTTTCAAATCAACAAGACAACAGGATTTATCTATATTGTTGCATCTCTTGACAGAGAAATCAAGGAGTTATTTGTTTTGAGTGTAGTAGCAAAAGATAAAGGTAGTCCTCTTAAAGAGTCTGTATGTCAGGTGCTTATTGCTGTTCTTGATGTAAATGACCACAAACCAGAATTTAAGGTAAAAAATGACACAATCTATATATCAGAAAGAACAGCTATTGGTTCCATTGTGTATTGGGCCAATGCAACAGATCAAGATAAAGATGAGAATGGGAATATAACATATTCCCTTGTGAAAGTATCTGGAGAACAAATCTTCAGGATAAATGCAAAAACTGGGGCAGTCATTCTGAACAAAACGCTTGATTATGAAGATACCAAACAGTACAGTCTTCAGATTAAAGCTTCCGATAAAGCTAAAGAAAATCCCAAGCAAAATATTCTTAGACTGTATATCAATATTCTTGACTCAAATGATAATGGCCCTATATTTGATGAAAATCCAATTTTCACATATGTCCTTGAAGGTGTGGCACGGGGGAAAAAAGTTCATAAACCTATTCTTGCTCGTGACAAAGATTCAGGAATAAATAGCAGGATTGTGTACTCTATTGAAAGTCAGTCACCTAAGGCTGCTTTTAAAATTGATCCATTTAAAGCCCAGTTAAGTACAGATGTGGAAATAGATAGGGAAGATGTTAGCGAATATAACCTAGTTGTTAAAGCTGTGGACCAGGCTGGAGAAGTTTCAGAACAAAAATCCAACACAGTCACTGTGATAATACTTGTATCGGACGTTAATGACTGTCATCCCGTTTTTACTTCTCGAAATAAGTCATTTATAATGGAAGATGAACCAGTAAACTTTACAGTTTTCTATTTCACAGCTGAAGATAAGGACTTAGGTCAAGCTGGCAATGTGACGTTTAGTTTGGTAGAAGGAAACGAACATGGGATATTTTATTTGGATCCTCATTGGGGCTCCTTAATCCTGTTGAAACGACTTGATCGGGAAAAGGTTGATTCTTATCAACTAAAGATTAAAGCTTCAGATCAAGGGTCTCCTCGCCCTTTATCTTCAACGATAACCTTTACACTTTCTGTGGAAGATGTAAACGATAATTTGCCACGGTTTTTGCATTACATTTACCGGGTGAATGTATCGGAAAATATAGACGTTGCTCATGTCTTGAAAGTTAAAGCTACAGATCTGGACAGTGGTCAGTTGACATATAGTCTGCCTCCTGGATTTGCTAATGATCAATTCATTATAAATGAATCAACTGGTCAAATAACAACAAACTCTCCTTTGGACCGAGAAAAGCGACAAGTGTATGAATTAACTGTATATGTACAAGATAAAGGTTATCCTTTGTACACTGACAGCACAACTGTGATAATCAATGTAACAGATAAAAATGACAACGTTCCTATTGTGTTACACGACTTTTATGAAGTTAAAGTACTTGAAAATAGTCCTGCTGGGTATGTTTGTTCAATAATCGCTCAGGATTTTGACACAGAAATGAACGCTCGGTTACAATACAGCATTGAAGAAGGGGATAATTTTAAATATTTTGAGATAGATAAAAATGCTGGTACATTATCAACAGTATCACCACTTGATCGTGAATCCAGTCCAGTGTATGATTTAATTATTAAAGTTGAAGACCAAGGCCGTCCTTCTCTTTCAATTAAAGTGAAGCTTTTAGTTATTGTCCTGGATGAGAATGACAACAATCCTAAATTTAGCCCAAGTGAAAGAAATATTCACCTACCAGGCGGTAGTCAACCAGGAACAGAAGTTGTAACTTTAATAGCTAATGATGACGACGACGACTCTAATACAGCAATAACGTATAGTTTTGCCAGTGAACAACAAATACCATTCGCTTTGGATTCCACAAGTGGTTTGATTTATACTTTGAACTATTTAAATGCCAGTGAAGTTGATACGTACACCTTTTCTGTAAATGCAAGTGATGGCAGTAAATCCGGAGTCCGTTTTGGATCAATTAAAGTAAACGTTTCTGTCGACCGTATCACAGGGATTCCTCTACGATTTACTAAAGTTTTGTACGAAGTAGATCTTAAGAGTCAAATTAAAGCTGGTATAGAAATTTTGCGACTCCAATTAAAGAATAAACATTTAAAGCCAGGTCATGTTGAATACATTCGCGAAGGTGGACAAAAAGTTTTAGCTGTTGGTCAAACCAGTGGAAATGTGAGTTTCACAGAAGACCCAAGGCCTGGCGCATACTTATTTAGTGTTAGAGCAACTTTAGTCCATGATCGAAGTATGACGGCGGTCTGTTTTGTGCTTGTTACGGTTCAACGTACTATCCGACGTCCAAGCTTTTCTCACTCATCCTATAGTGCAACGTTAAACGAGAACGATCTACCTGATACTCCTATACTCACACTAAAACCTTATACTTTGGGAAATGTATCCTATCAAATCGTTAATGGCAATGCATTTGACGCGTTTAAGATTGGTTCCAACGGCGAAGTAACTGTGAAGAAAGCTAACGCTTTGGACTACGAGAGGTCGCGTAGTTTTGAGTTAGACATTAAAGGTGATTGGGGAAACACGGTTACAAATATTGCATTCACGAAATTATACCTAACTCTGCGTAATCTCGACGATAAAGCTCCTGTATTTAGGCAGAAAGTATTCATATCAAGTATTCCAGAAACAGAAAGTAGTGTGACATCGGACAATCGATTTGTGACCAAGTTGCTTGCGTTTAATTTCGGCAACTCGCAAATGTCGTTTAGTATTGTGTCTGGTAACAAAGAAAGTGTTTTCTCGTTAGATTCATTTACTGGTGTATTATCCCTTCGAAAAGCTGTTGATCGCGAAGATAAAAACTTCTATAATTTAACAATCGGTGTTAGTGCTAGTCAGCTTTCTTCCCATTGTAGTGTACTTGTGTTTATTACAGACGTCAATGACAATTCACCACAACTACCTGGGAGTATTAACCTTACAATATTTGAGAACAGTCCTTTGGGGAGTCGCGTGGGACAGGTGAACGCTACGGACAAAGATGAATATTCAGTACTTACGTATAGTTTTGCCGGTAACACACAACGAAATGGACCTTTTGTTATTGATCTTCACACTGGAATTCTGCGTTTAGTTGATGTAGTTGATTTTGAGACTAAGCCGAATTTGTACACTGTGGATGTAATTGTCAGTGATCAGGTATATGTAGCGAACATAACGGTTTTTGTGACTGTATTGGATGAGAATGATCACAAGCCAGTGTTTGAGAAATCATCGTACAGTGTTAAACGTAAAGAACCTATTTTCGTAGACACCCAATTGGCTCGAATTAATGCAACGGATAATGATCAAAGAGACAATAAAAGAATTACGTACAACATCACCTTAAATGACGAGATAGGAATAAATCCATACAGTGGAATAGTTTTCACCAAAAAGGAAATCATGTATAGTAAGGATTTTATTGATCTTATTATCACTGCAACAGATCATGGTTCTCCCAAACTATCCTCTCAAGTCCCATTCCGTCTACAAATTTTATATGTGAACAATAAACCTGATTTGGGCACTGTTCCTTACGACGTAACGATATCGGAAGATATAGAAGTTGGGACTGAAGTAGTTAGAATAAAGCCTATAAATTCTGAGTCTTTAGCTGATAAGAAAAGAATTTCGTTTCAAATACTTAACGGAGATGAATTAAAAATGTTTCGAATCGAAGAACGGACTGGTACTATTCGCGTAAGAAGACAATTAGACTATGAAAATACAGACCTGTACAATCTGGATGTGATAGCCAAAGGTGGCAGCAAATCACATGTTTCTGATCGCATAAAAGTCCGTATTAAAATTGCCGATGTAAACGACAACGCACCGGTATTTCAGAAAAATATGTATTATGTGAATGATTCAATGTACGAGGAATCCATAACTGAGAATGTTACGCCGCCTCGTCTTGTGTTAATTGTACAGGCAACAGACAAGGACAAGGGACGTAACAAAGATATTAAATATTCAATCAGTTCTGGAAATAATGATGAATGGTTTAAAATGAAATCAAAGAATGAAAAAGGTGAATTGTGGTTGGTCAGTCCTATAGATCGTGATGTTATTCCAGTACATCGACTCTCTGTGAGAGCAACAGATCAAGGTAAATAATTGTTTGTTTCTACAATACACTGTTGTATATGGAACATGATGTTTCATGGCAGCATTAATATGACATGTAACACGGAATCGCAGGGCTACTACTGTATAGATATGTTAGTTATAGCTTTCGCCCGACGTTTACATTAACGTAAATCCCGGATAGCTGTGTCAACCATAGAGATTATAAAAGAATATAGTGGGCATTGCGGGAAAAATCGAGGGACAAATTGAAGTTTCATAATGGGGGCAAATATAACGCTCTCTGATTGGCTAAAATCTTGTTACCCGGATGTAAATTCTCATATATTCCTGGATGCAAAACAGCGATGTTTAGGAGGATCGGGAAGTTACGAAAATAACAACTTTGCAAATAATTTGGCAAACATTTGCAAAGAACCAGTTTTAGCATAGTTTAAAGTGCCTATATCAGGGTCAGGGAAATGATTTTTCCTGATAGTTTAGACAATTTTAGGGGCATTTGCAATATATTTGACAAGACGAAAATTTGATCTTCATGGACTTTTTGGGCCTCAAAGTTGCGGATTTTGGCAAATTTTTGTGTTTGACCGTGAGATACAATTAGTGGTAACTAGTTGTGTTGTGAGGCGGAAGTGACGTAGGAATGAGAAGACATGCTTTCAGAACAACAGGACATTTATAGTAAAACAGCAACATTGAACACTTTATCCTTTTTAAAAACACGAGAAAAGAATATTTTATCGTTTTTTTGTTTATTTCGCTGAACGTCCATGGTTCAGAGATGCCACATAGGTGTGTAGCATATGGATGCTCCAACGTTGCTAGCCAAAATGAAGGAATATCGCTGCACAATATTCCGTATGCGTCTATGCGAATGACGATCGGCCAGAGGCAATAAAGCGAAGGAAACGATAGGTTGGCTTTGTGAAACGAAAGAGACTGAACTTCGAACCAACAGCTTCATCGAAGATATGCTCAAGACATTTTATGGCCGAAGATTTTGTGAGACCATTCGCTGTTGGTTTGACGACTGAGAAACCGAAATTGAAACAGCTACTAAAGACAGACAACTTTGGTATCTGCGTGCATCCATGAGTGGCGATGAAATGAAACCTTTATCCGCAAGAGATCGCCGATATTCTGTAAGTAATGCATTTAGTAATTATGTTTTTACTATTGCCAGTCGTCAGTCCTTAATTTCGTTCAATGTGAATATGTTATATAAGAATGCATAATAAATCGTGCCATATATATTCATTAAAATTATATGTATTCATACCTAACAGGTAATAAATGTTAAGTGGTCAAGTACATTGCTAAAAGAGGAAGGTGAACCCTCCACCTCGACTGAACAAGGTGAACCCTCAACAATGGTTCAAGTTTATACTGACAAAGGTGAACCATCTACTTCAACATTGACTGATCAAGATGAACCCTCAACATGGCCTGGGCCTAGTGGTACAGAGGATACATTTGTCCAAGCAATTGACCAGGTTGCTAGTTGTAAACTATTGTATTTACTTAATATTATTTTATTTTAGACTAGCACATGTGAAACTGTTGAAGTTGCTTGTAAAAATTGCACAAAGCTGAAATAAGAGCTACTGCGATTGAAAACATGACATATGGTAAAAGGTGTGCAAATAGTGAATGCAATCATTAAAAAGTACTTTTAAAATGTTTTTTGGCAATATATACTGTACAAAGTGTTGTGTTTATTTAATTAAATGAATAATATTCTTAACTTTATTCTTATAGCATTTTTCCTAATAATGAAAACCTCATGATGGAACCGAAGTTTGTTGTCTTGCTCTCGCAAGGTTTGAACTATTCAAAGTTTGTGCAACATGCAAGAAGCCTGATGTGCTGGTAGAAATGAAAGAGTTTGGCACAATGGTTCAAGTTGAGATGACGTGCAACAACAAAATATGTCCAGGGGGAAATAAAGTCTGGAAAAGTCAATCATTGATGCCTGGCACTTTGGATTGTCCTCGTAATAAAAAATAATTACAAAAAAAATTGACATTACACTAATTTGCAAACTACATACTAGCTGATTAAATTATACAGATGTATTAATTTTTTATGCAATATTCAAATCCAGAGTGCCCCCCCCCCCCCCACAGGAACTTGCTCATTTTAT